AAGCCAAGGCACAAAAATTGGGGCTGTAGCGCCAAAGGAAAAAAAACTATATGTACTAGAGTCTTCCCATTATCTGTATGCAACAGAGTTCTACCTGAGACGCTGACAGTCACTCAGCTAGTCAAGAAATTTCTTGCCACTTATGGAGCCCGAAGATTCATTACCACCTTCACAAAACCTCATTACTGATCCCTATCCCGAACCAGAAGAATTAAGTCAATTGCCTCATATCCTGTTCAAGATGTCCCATATCAAGCAGGAATACTCGGTCGGTATAGCGACGAGGTGACGGCCGGGGTTCGATTCCTCCACAGGGGCACAGTGTCCAGACCGGCTCTGATGACCACCCAGCCTCCAATCCAATGGGTACCGGGGTTTTTCCCCCGGGGGTAAAGGGCAGGGGTGTAAATCTGACCACTCCCCTTCAACTAGTGCGGCTATACCTTCGCCATGCATGGCGGGGTGCTTAAGCACAGGGGCAACTTCATCTTTTAGCTTTCTTAAGACGTTCCATTTCATGACCTGTTTTCTGGTGTAAGTTACCGTTTTGCCTCTTTAAAAAAATAACTTTCCTGCACTGAGTTCGTTACTTACAACGAAGAGCAACGGCAAAGCAAGAATTCGTAGAAAGTTGTAAGGCTGCTTATCGACATCGCGCGAAGAAAGTGTCATTTGACTGATAATGACGTGAAAGTCCATCTGCTGTAGTCTTCTGGAGACCATTTCGCACATGCGCACTTTGGTTGCAGTTTCATGTATAATTTCCGCCTGCAATCCGATACTTCGGTTTTGCGTCCAATTTACACACACATAACGGAATTCCAGTTCTGGGTTGTCAGTAACATGTGTCGACAGCTTGTACTTAGCATTTCAGTACTGTGTTCCGGACTCAGGTGGTTTAATCGTAAGTTTACATACAACTTTCTGGCGACCCCACCCTGGTAAACATCACACGGCTGTAAATTAGACGCATGACGCCCCTTTTTTGATACTGTGTTCTGTTAGGATTGCGTCTTCGGCAGAATTACAATGTTTCATTTCATACTGTTACTTAACTTCATAACTACCCCAAACGGTTCCAGGATGAGCATCAGAGCATCTGTTACGCGAATGACGTAAACATGCCGAAAAATTCAATATGAATGTGAAATTTTAGGTTTTCAAGACGGTGAAAATTCAAAATATGATCATCCGGGTTATGACACCGTGTAGTCTTGTAGTAAAAAAAACAAAGTAATGCTATCCATATAACAGGCCATGGAGACACATAGGGTTGTGAGATGTTGAGGTTCCCACATTTTTTAGACAAAGGTTGTCAGTCCCACGCGCCGGCCGCCCTTTATCCCCAAGAATATTCCTGGTACTGATTCCTGTTAGAGGTTGAGTCGACCCCAGGGCCATAGTGCGGCTGGAAGGATTAAGACAACTGAAAAAAAATCCAATGACCTCAACGTGACCTGAACCCGTGACTTTCCGGCTTGTAGCATAGTTCCTCAACCAGCTACGCTACCGCGGGCCCCGTAGTCTTGTACATCTCCATCTTCTGGGTAGATCTCGCTTCTGGAGGTGGTTAAGTTTCTTGAAATGCCGGTAACCACAACCGACAATCTACACGATGTCACGACACACAAAGACAACTATCTGAACACAAATATTTCCTCATACATTCCCTGCACCTAATTTCCAAAAATTTGAAAAGTACTATCGTCTGAGTTATAATGCCGTGTAGACTGGTAAAGTATAGATGTTTCGAATGAACGTACTGTCCCCACCTTCAGGGTCGAAGACTTAAGCAAAACAAGTAACCAGAAAAAAAAACAAGCTGCTTGTTTCTTGCTTGGTTTACTCTATGATTCTGAAAATGCAGGCACTACGGTTCTTCGAAACGTCGGTCAGCATCTACCGGACTGTACGACCTCACAACCCAGAATACAGCATTCTTCATTGTGTGCGCCGTGAGAATTTGTCTACTAATGCATGTTTTTTCTACATTTCAAGGTTACTGCGCAATCAGAAGACAGGGATAGCTTGTCCCTTGCTACTACATGTGGTCAAAAAAAGAAAAATTACTTTCGTCATTACAGCAAAGAATATATCCCCATTCTCATCTCATGGGAATAAAACTGTATGGGTCAGAATAACCAGAGAAGTAGAGAGCTGCGTAACTGCCGCCACTGTAATTCAGAGCGACAATGAACTTGGAAGACACAGACGTTTCCCAACAACAGACCTAAGTAGGACACATACACTATACGTTAATGCTACATCAACAAACTTCGTAAACGAATTGTAAAATGGGCAGAGAAAAGCTCTCTTCGTCCTCTCGTTTTATATGTCAAGGCCCAACATTTACCCATTATTACTTACTTACTTACTTATGGAGCTGAGCCCTTCTTGAGAAGCCGCCAAATCTGCAGCTGCTCGAGAATTTCCCAGCATTTTATGGCACCCGAAGGTTCATTACCGTGTTCACAAGAGCCATCTACTGGTCCATATCCTGAGCCAGTATAATCCAATCCATATCATTTCATCCTATCTCTCTAAGATCCACTTTAATATTGTCCACCCACCCACGCCTTTGTCTTCCCAGTGATTTCTTTCCTTCTGGCTTTCCAACCAATATCCTATATGCATTCCTCTTGCCCCCATTCGTGCTGCCTGCCCTGGCCACCTCATCCTCCTTGACTTGATCATTCTAATTATACTTGGAGAAGAGTACAAGTAATGAAGCTCCTCATTATGCAGTTTTCTCCAATCTCCTATCACTTCATCTCTCTTCGGTTCACACAGTCTCAACACCCTGTTCTCAAACGCCTTCAGTCTATGTTCCTCCCTTAACGTCAGAGCCCAAATTTCACACCCATACAGAATCACGGGCAAAATTAGAGTTTCGTATATTCTAATGATTATGTTTTTGGACAGCAGACGTTTACCCATTATATAAATAATAAATATTGTCACGTGTATGAGTGACTACACACACGGTTTGGACTGGTAACTGGATTTACTGAACTCTTACAGAGATCGATTCGCGATGTCATTGTATTTTTAAAATGAACTAATCCTTCCAGCCGCACTACGGCCCTGGGGTCGACTCAGCCTGTAACAGAAATGAGTACCAAGAATCTTCCTGGGGGGTAAAGAGCGGCCGGTGCGGAAGGCTGACCTCACCATCTGTGAGCCGACTGTCTAGAAATTGTGGGAGCCTCGACGTACCATAACCCTACGGGCCTCCACGGCCTCTTACAGGGATATCTTTACTCTTACATTTGTATATTCATGTAGCTTGTACTCTTCTCCAAGTACAATTAGAATGATCAAGTCAACGAGGATGAGGTGGGCAGGGCATGTAGCACGAATGGGGGCAAGAGGAATGCATACAGGATATTGGTGGCAAAGCCAGAAGGAAAGAGACCACTGGGAAGACCAAGGCGTAGGTGGGTGGACAATATTAAAGTGGATCTTAGAGAGGATGAAATGGTATGGATTGCACTGCACTGGCTAAGGATAGGGACCAGTGGATGGCTCTTGTGAACACAGCAATGAACCTTCGGGTTCCATAAAATGCTGGGAAATTCTTGAGTAGCTGCAGATTTGGCTTCTCTTCAAGAAGGGCTCAGCTCCATGAGTATTTTTTTTTACTGCTAGTGGGGTGGGACTAAGTCCCTTGTACTGTGGCCAAATCTGGCCTATTGTACCAGCCCCACATGATAGGTGAGGGTGATTGTGCAGTAATNTGAGTGACTACACACACGGTTTGGACTGGTAACTGGATTTACTGAACTATTACAGAGATCGATTCGCGATGTCATTGCATTTTTAAAATGAACTAATCCTTCCAGCCGCACTACGGCCCTGGGGTCGACTCAGCCTGTAACAGAAATGAGTACCAAGAATCTTCCTGGGGGGTAAAGAGCGGCCGGTGCGGAAGGCTGACCTCACCATCTGTGAGCCGACTGTCTAGAAATTGTGGGAGCCTCGACGTACCATAACCCTACGGGCCTCCACGGCCTCTTACAGGGATATCTTTACTCTTACATTTGTATATTCATGTAGCTTGTACTCTTCTCCAAGTACAATTAGAATGATCAAGTCAACGAGGATGAGGTGGGCAGGGCATGTAGCACGAATGGGGGCAAGAGGAATGCATACAGGATATTGGTGGCAAAGCCAGAAGGAAAGAGACCACTGGGAAGACCAAGGCGTAGGTGGGTGGACAATATTAAAGTGGATCTTAGAGAGGATGAAATGGTATGGATTGCACTGCACTGGCTAAGGATAGGGACCAGTGGATGGCTCTTGTGAACACAGCAATGAACCTTCGGGTTCCATAAAATGCTGGGAAATTCTTGAGTAGCTGCAGATTTGGCTTCTCTTCAAGAAGGGCTCAGCTCCATGAGTAAGTATTTTTTTTTACTGCTAGTGGGGTGGGACTAAGTCCCTTGTACTGTGGCCAAATCTGGCCTATTGTACCAGCCCCACATGATAGGTGAGGGTGATTGTGCAGTAATTGGTGGAATGAAGAGTAGCATTGGAAAACGAAGGACTCGGAGAAAACTGCCACTTTGTCCACCACAAATCCCACTTGACCAGACCCGGGATCCAACCCGGGGCCGCCGCGGTGGGAAGCCAGCGACTAACCGCTTGAGCTATGGCGCGGCCCTAAGTAAGTAAGTAAGTAAGTAATGTATGATTTATTTAACGACGCTTTCAATAGCACAGATTACATAGCGTCGAATGATTACGATTACTAAATAACGAACTGGAAATGACTTCAAAGGAAATTGTGACAGCCCGATTTTAGGCACTACGAAGGAATGTGTGGAGACTGGGAAAACCCTTCATCAGGAAAGGCGGTCTCCTAGGCGAGACTCGAACCTGGCATCTCCCGAATATGAAGGAACGCTAACAATTCGCCCGTAACATTCCGTAACACGAGTGGCAATATTTATAATTCAATAAATCAACCACGTGAACTTGTTCTAACTATACATATACACTCGTAGAAGGAAGGGCTTCCAGGCTGTCACAGTCACTACGTCTTCCCCCACCAACACTCACCAAACTTCACTTTTTACTATCCCTTCCTACCGGTAGACAGACTGAGAGTGAACGCTAATGTTCTTTTCTCTAAAGCATGCTCATAAAACGAGCACTAGCTTTTACTGTGCAGCTGGACACATGGCTGTCAGTCGAGTGCAACGCGGTGTGGAGTAGAAATGGGTTTCTCAAGGAGCAAACGGGTTACCTGTCAGTGATGGCGGCACCTGTGATAACCATAACGAGGGTCACGACAGCCAACACTACTGCATATCAGGAACGGATACAACAATTCTGGAGGATACTAGGCGAATAACTACTGCGTGATATTAAGTGTTCTACAAACCGCATTCATCTGAAACTGTCACCAACCTGACTGAAGGATGCGCATCTAAATAGCTTAGCTTTCTTTGCAAAGGTACACATTTCAGAAGAAAAGAAGAAGCGTGTGTTGTGAGAACTTACATGTGAGTTTAACCTCCACGTATATACAATAGGATATACAAACACAATCGGTATATAACGGAGAGTAGTGTGAACATAATTCTATAACCTATTCGTACGGCGGTGATATTCCTTACATTACGTTGGACCTCACAAGCAAAAATGTTATAAAACAATTACATCCCGGTGCATGTAGTTAAAGTTGTTAGCAGACGAGCCTAAGTTTGCATTTTTTCTAATTTAACTCCGCAAAAGGCTGTTACGTCTGCGGAAGATCGAGAGGGGTAAGACGTAGGCCTATGGTAATGTTTCATAATACGTAATAATCAATTTCTTCTAAGAAGGTACCGTATTCATCGTCCTTTGCTTGTGGTCGTGAGCGAAGTGTTACGGAGATCTCGATGGTGGGACAGGAAACGAACGTTAACTTACAACAGCGTACAAATGATACTTTTAAACATTTCGACATGCGAAGAAAAAGAAATACAACAGTACAAACACGCACTCAAGGTTCAACAGTTTCTGTGTTTGTAATTAGCGAGTGAATGTCCTAAGGAGGTTACGTAACAATACCGGTAAAAATGGTCGCAAAAAATGAACCCGAAATAAGTAGGAACGTCACCATTTTCCTTCGCTATAGGCAGTAATGACATTGGCTGACAATTTTCGTGCAATTAAAATCGTTTAGCAAAGTCTTCTCTCATGTGACTGCGTATAGAAGAGAGCAAGCTAAGTATAAAGAAGACACTGGGTGAGCAGGAACGCGGCGCTGATGCTGAGTAGGTGTAATTGCTACTGGACTGCACTGAATGGTCGTTACGTTATGGTAATCACAGGCGTGAAGGGAACGTAAAACAGGAGACACGAGTTCGGAACCGCAGCACGCCGCGCTAGTACTGCTACTGGCTCTCAATTAATAGGATAAAGAGTCAACAGGAGGAGGAACCGCTGTTACCAACAGTAAGTACTGATAGCACACCACATGTTATTTTAAGGTTGAAAAGAACAAAATATCGTTTTTTCTCTGGGACAATTACAATTGTATATTTTTTAATTCCATTTATTTACTTATTCCTTGGCCACCTTTATTACAGATAGCCACTCTTTGCTATCATCTGTCTTCTGGCTCTCGTAAATCATTATCTACATCTTCCAGCCATATCAACCTGATACTTCCAAATTTTCTCCTACCTTCTGGCTTATTAAAAAAAAAAAAAGAACCATATACACTCACATTTGATAAATTCTGATCGCATGGCCGAAATACCCCAGCCGTTAATTTTACTTCTCTATGACTTTACAGCCCTTTGGACCTTGGCCGCTTCTTCAGTTTCTTAACCTTATACGCAGCCGTTAGGACTCCTTCGACGGGGGATCAGCCCGTCGTAAGACCGTTACCTACAAGCAAAACAATACAAACACAAAATGCACACAGACACCCATGCCTCGAGTGGGATTCGAACGCACGACCCGTGTTCGAGCAGGCGAAGATGATTCATTCCTTAGACCGTGAGGCCACTGTGATCGGTGTTAATTTTACTTATGCTTCTCAAACGATATAGAAAAAAATATTAATATAACAAGGCGACACAAAAATGAACATACACAAACTATTTCTAATATATCAGCTGTTTCCTCATTAAATGAAATCAATGTGAGATTAACATGACTGGTGATGGATAACACCGCTTTTCCACATAATCAGGGCAGTTTCTGGTCTCGGAAATGTTATTATTATTATTATTATTATTATTGGCTCCACCGTGTCTATCGGGTTTATCACACAACTTCACTTCCATTATGCTCACTGATTTGCATTCACGCCGTCTGCAAGTAAACTGACATCAGATCGTAACATCACTATGCTGCCGCGATTTACTTACGCGTTACGTCAGATCTTTAAAAATAAGTCCTCTGTGAAACTTATTTCATAAACTCGAATTCTTTGTAAGTTTAAGGCAATGTTATTTCATATTTTAGATGCAATTTATTCACTGATTACGTGATTTATTTTTCAACTGGGACCAACTAAAATATTTGGAAGAGTTCTAAAAACTCCTGGGATATAGCGCAGTATACTACGGTGAAACCAAACCGACGTTTCGGAGCTCAATCACTCTGATTTCTTGCTTGGCTTACACTTCGACCTTAAAGATGGAGGCGACATGTTCCTCTTAAACGTCTCACAGTCACCGCTGTGAGAAAGTAAAATCCAACAAAATATTCAGGCTTCGTAATTCGTTTAAGAAATTTTAAAAGACTGGAACGTAAAATACCAACAAACCCGTGTGTCATTCTCTGATTACACAATGTCACAACGCGACACAAACAAGTTGCACAAGAACAGACTGACTGACAAAGAGGTTTCATGCTTGACCATGCATTTCTAGCATTTGTACTAATGGACAAATGAAATAACTTCAAGGTACCTATACAGAAATTTAGGTCTATATTTACACCGCAATTAAAACTTTGTCGAAAAACAAAGAGTTAAAAGGTTATTCGAAACTCGAGTACGTGCACTTTCCAAAAGCGAGTCCTGCGATTTTACGCATATAATTTTCGCTAGCTATTTATGACGCTACAAAGCCGTTATCCTGGCCGATATTCGAAACGAGCACCTCCAGAACGAGTCCAGGGTGTTGCAGGTAGACCAAATTCTGTGTCTGTTAGAACCTTCTGTCACTTCTGTGATCACCGTGCCCTACGTTACCCAACAACAGCTTATTTCGTACGTCATTTAAAAAGTGAAAACCTGCGTTGCCCTCATATCAATTAGTTAACACGACTGTCGTGTTTTCTTCCACTAATTTATTAACACTATGCTGGATTTCATATTGTAATTAGCTATTTTCTTAAAAAAAAACCGGAAAACACATATGAACGCCTACAATCCATTCCCTTACGTTGCTGACACAAATGCATGGTTTTGAATCCACAAACACTACACTGACTCAGAAATCCCTTCTCTTTGTATTGCGTAAGTCGTAGATTCGAGAAATATTCATATAAAAATTACATATCTTAACGAGGTAAACGTTTCATGTCAAGTGTAAATTCTGTACGAGCAGTAGTTTTTAAGAAGATCGATACAGTTCGATTACAGTTTCATGAAAAGCACAGATTACAGATAACGGATATAAAAAAAAATCAAAGATGAAACACGTGGCAAGAAAAACTGATACAACGGGCCAGTCGGCGTCCTCTTCTTGTACTCTGTGTACAGAACGCATACGCACATAATTAAATATGCTACAACAGTTTATATAACTGTCCAACAAGATTCAGGTATAAATAAAAGCATAACATAACCTCAATTTAACACATATCTCCAAGCAGAAACAGCCATACTCCTATACGCACTCCTGCATTGATATTCCTGTTTCTCATGAACAACAAAACACAATATAATACCTGTAAGACCCCCTACAAACTCTGAGAGTAGTGGAAGTCGAGATCCCTATTATGAAACTCCGTACCTACACCATGTCTGTATTATATCGACTTCTAACTTATTCGAGTTCCTTTCTCTTGCATTGTGCTCGAAACGTATATGTAGACTGTTCCATTAGCGACATTGTGGTAAAATAATTACGGCAAATTTCATATATTATGATAAATACTAATTACCGAACGCTTTCTGCCCCGAAAATCTGACTCAAAAACGTCTTCTGTTAATGTATCTGGACAAGATGTGTAACGAATTGTACTTCTGCCGCGAAGCTAAGAGAAGGTAACAGGAATATCATTACATGTCGCGCGAATGTACGGTCCACTGAGCTCGTATCATACGTGACAGCTAATTTCTAAACTCGCTTTCTATTCTGTGTCCCTGAACTTCGACAGCCATGAAATTTGAAAGCAATGAGATCGGGTATTAATCACTGAACACACACACACACACATATATATATAATCGTATATGATCAAGATGAAATATATAAGGCCATTTTTGAAACGACCTTCTTTCAGACTACTTTCCTTGTTTTATAACAAGACCCAAGATAACAAAACATGAGTGAGTGCGCGCGTGGCTATTCCCCTCAACAACTTCTGAAATAAACGGCGGATTTTCATTATTCGTGGTATCATAATCCTTACAGGGCATCCAACTTCGTATATTTTAAATTGCTACCATCAACAATACCAAAATAGCGACAGCAGGAAGCAGTATGGTGGTAGCAACAGCATCACTTAATGTAAGATCATGAAACATGCACCTCTTGTTTATAACAAACTCTTTGTACACCATATAACAACATGGCGATAACGCGAAATTATATTTACCTGACAGTTTCAAAGCGGTAACTAATGAACTACTGGAACTAGGAATACGAAACTAGGCTCCTATCCAAATGGTACCTAGGGTCTCTTTCCCCGGTGGTAAAGCGGTCGCGGTGTGAAGCTGACCACTCACCTAGATCTAGTGTCGGAATTAACAAAAATGTTAGGTTATATCACGTACGCCTTCTTGGCGTGGTACTTAATTAACGAGAGGGGCAAGTTTACCTTTACTACCTTCTGTGCTTACAAATATGACGACAGTATGGAATTTTGAGGTTATGTTTAACACATCCGGAATCGACAAGTGTAAGCAAGTTAGTGCAAAATGACAGAAATGGACGATTAAACAGTACTGATTTGTGGTTCCTCCTACACTCAACATAGAGAGGGTGAAGCATTTAAAGGGGGAAGAAAAAGTAACAGTGTAAGCCTTTACCAGAACGCCTATGTGGTCTAGTGGTCAGCGTTCCTGGCTACAGAGGTACGGGTTCGATTCCCGGAGCTACCAGATTCTTTTCTGAGAAGCAGTGTGTCTGGAATGGGTGCCACTCAGCCTCGTGAGGATAATTGAGGCGCTATTTCAAGGAAATGGCGGCTCCGGTATAGAAAACCGAGATTAACGGCCGTGGGGATTCGGTGCGCTGACAACACGACACCCTCTATCAGCAAAAAGTTGGCACTAAACTTCGCCGACAAGCGGCGGTCGCTCGGTCGGTATAGTTCGCTTGCGGACTAAAATCACGGAGTGTAAGCCTTTACCATACCTACTCCTTTGGAAGAGAGATAACGTCTGTGCCTAATTTTAAGTCGCTATCAATATCTCACATTATATATAGTCAAAGGCTTAAGATGCAGAATTTGAACTTCTCACACACCGCCGTGAAGTCAGTTCGAAACAAATCGCCATTTTTGAGGAAGATTATACCTGTTTCGCTTATTCTTCCACCTTGAAGATGGAGGTGATAATGTTACTCAGAAACGTCGGTTGACTTTTCAACGGCCTATACAGCGATACACACCAGAAGACATCAACACTTCGAATGCTAGGATTATTCAATGAATACTGAATTAAGCAGGGTGTAAAAAGAGGCCTTTGTGGCCCAGCCTGTGATATCATACGGGGATCTGCCTGGAGACACTCAGGAAAGCTATCAAGAACTCAGTAAGGATAGTCGGTCTCCGAATTGTGGTTTGAACGCAGGACCTCCCGAAGCACTTCGGTGCACTGTCTTATTGTGTCATTTCAACAGAAGTGAAAACTGCATTTACTTAAAACATATGCCGTTCCTCAACATATCAGCTGAAAGCGAGAAAAATATCGATATAAAAATACTGCACACATTTTCTTATATACGGCTGACCTTGACTACGTTACCTTGGAAACGAAACAGACTGTTGCTCGGCCGACCACTGTTAGTGGCTGAATACCGAACAATAATGACCCGTATGGTTGGTTTAGAGAAAAATATTTGGCGTTCGGGCCCCTAGTGCGAGTACCGTTAACTTCCTGAAGGTACCAATTATGCAGTTTTTTACTTACCGATACGGTCTCCATAAATTACGAAATTTTAATCAAAATCGTTACAACCGATTTCCAGAACATGGCTAAACCGTGTTTTTGGGGCCCACCTCAAGGGTCGCAGTGTTTGAAACTGGGATGTTCGATTTCGCAGGGC